CTCTCTCTCTCTCTCTCTCTCTCTCTCTCTCTCTCTCTCTCTCTGCATATAGACTACTCTTTTCATATACGACCACTCTTCGAGAAAACTTCACAACATAAGTCGCATGTGATCGAAATGAGATATGTTTTCCGTAACTCCAGGCGTACCTCTAAACATTTCTGCCCACTGCAAATACAGGAGCGTACTACCGCAGGCAGACGGAGATTCTCCAGCTCCGCAGAGGCGCTCCAAGCGCGCCTTTTATCGTAATCAGTACCGACAGCCTTTAGGTGACCCGTATTAGCCTAGTAGTTCGACGGGGCGGGGCGAATACCTTGGCGACGAATGAGGAGTGCACTTACATGTACGAGGGAGAATACACTTTCTCGAAGGGGCCGTTTTGGCACCATTTCAAAGCAAAAGCTCGCCGTTTGGTTCGTTCGTTACTGTTGCCTTGGCGGCGCAGCGATAATATTCAGCAGCACTGCGTGTTGATAAACCTGCTCACACTGGGTTATCATTATAAGGCGAGTGAAAAATAAGGCAAGGCGAAAGTATTAATTAATTAGCTCGGACAAACATAAATTTCCCCTGCTAAATTCGCTATTAAACGTCTTACTCTGCAAACGGTTTGTAATTTGCGAAAGGCTCAGGGACTGCAAGTACTACAACGCATTTCTCGGCATTTCTCTACCATTTCCAATTGCAAGAAAATTATTTGCAAGCTACAAAGCACAATTTGCATTTCCAGGTTAATTTTTCAATTTCTGTAGTCTAATTAATCTTTGCTAGGATTTTCGGGCTTTTTACCTTTTTTTCTTCACTATCCCTTATCCCTCCGCAGTTTTTGTGTGATTCATTAGAAAGAGTGCGCTTTATGTTACGAATAATCTGCTGCGTAGTTCAAAAAGATCTGGAGCTGCCATATGGGATCGTCCGTTCGGCCAATTACAGGAGCTGGGCGCCTGTGAAAATCAGGGTAGGCCACCCAGCAGTGCGCGCCTGCACTGTAGGCGAGATGTTGCCTACCCACCAGGCGCTATGAGAGCTTCGGTAGGCTGAATCGGGCAGTTTTCGTAACGGCAAATGGCGGCAGTACTTTTTGAGAACAGGCACTTCATTCGACTATGACCAGCCCTGTTGTATTACGTAGAGAACGTTGTTTGAATTACACAAACCTGACTCTGCGTTTTACTATGAATTTATTTGTACAGCGAACGATCCCAATTCAGCAGCTGTTCGCGAGAGCTTACAGGCTGTGCTTAGTATTTTGAAATCATTTTTTTTTTCGTTTCGCCGTGTGCACAAAGCAGGGCATCATGTGCGCTGCGTTACAGAAAGGTCATAGCTACGTCCTTCCAAACGGCGTGCAAATGACTCTGATACACATCCGGTGTTACTCGTTGCTGAGTTGCGTTGTACAGGATGGCCGTGTGGTCACATCACACTGCAGCGGGCTCGCTGTTGATGCTACGCCCCCCCCC